ATATGAACTACGGTACTCAGTACAATTCTGACAACACGAATAATGAACACAATTGATTATCGGCAAACTCAACAAACTACAATAATTAGCGACGACAATAATGTAATCCCAAATAAAATCTATTCAAAAGTACCGATACGAAATAAAAAAAATATCGCTTTTCTCCTCAATTTAAGCTTAAACTACAACAACAATAAATTAGAATCGTTGGTTACAACAACCTTAAACTACAAGGAATTCATCTTCTTCTTGGCTTTGACTTCGTCGGTACAAAGGGTGGAGTGAAGAGGGTGTGTGGACGGAGAAGCAATTGAGATTGCCTCTGGGGGAATGGGATATGTGTTGGAAACTGCCCGGCTATGTTCTTCTAACAAACTTTTTTTCCTTCACTTTTCCACCACAATGGTCAGTCAATCATCGATCCCACCGCCTTTTTTGGCTCTTTGTAATTGTCTTTGTTTGGTCAAATGGTCTTGATAATGGTAGTGAGTCCTCGTAAGTTGCGTTTTAGAATTGGACTTTGCGTTTCCAACCCCTAGTTTTAATTTAGACCTTTTTGTTCAGCATTGTACTCCTATTTTTCATTTAGACCCTAATTTGTGTGTATTGTTGTGGCTAAAAGTAAAGAACAAAGATCGTAAAAAACGGCATTGACAACATTACAAACATCTCGTATTTTTTTAAAATTTAATTGCGATTATGTGTAAGGAGTGCTTTTTTGTTGTCTGAAATGGTATTTTTTAAATTTATAGTTACTTTGCAATGGCAAATACGTTTGACCCGTTATTTAGAATTATTACGGATGCAAGCAACCGGACCTTGGTATGGATCTCCCCGATCGAACAAATATATTTTTTAAAAAAATTAATATTTAAATGTTAACTTCAACGAATAGCAGTCCAAAAAATTGCATGTGGTATTCATACATGCATTGCCCGAGTCAATCTACCATCAATATACAAATCATGTCACAGTAAATTGTACAATAGTTACTAGGGAGCAGCGTACTTATGAAGTTTGGTTGGTAAAAGTGGGAAATGAATTCCAATTTGTTGATGGTTGGAAATATTTCATACGAGCGGAGGACATTCGTGGGTACTGCATTTTGTATTTCGAGCGCAAAAGTCTATATGACTTTGTAGTGAAAGTGTTCACTTGTAATTCCATTGAACGACCTCCGCAATATCGCTTCTTTGTGGGTATCAAGAAAACGCACGTACAACGGGAGCGTTTGGTACGTTTCACAATTTACTTCAAATAAGGTAATATAGAAGGAAATAAATATTTATTTTATTGTCTTACTATTGTAGGCCATTCCTATGAGTTCTTGGAGGGAACGTATCCACGACCAAATTAATGATACTAGCCGAGCAATCTTGATGTGTAAAAGGGGTAGATACAATGTTCCATAATCCAAGCCCATGGGAAGATGTTGATGGAACATGGTGATTCCCGTGAATTTATGGACCAAAGTGGAATCGTCAAGGGCGCGACATGCATTTTCACCTTAATTGGATATGAGTGTGTTGTTTTCAAAGTAAGGCTATTGGATGCTTGAGCGTGTAATCGTGGCAGAATATTTGCGGTACAAAAGACGTGTATTTCATATTTTTCAACTTCCTGTTTTGGAATCAAATTTGGACCAACTTTTATAATATATTCTACTATATCATATACGAAGGTCACGTTCATAAAATGATGTCATGTGTTGCAATGAAATTGAGTCCATTGCATGTCTCTCAGTGTACGTATTATATATATGCATGAAAAGAATGGAAAAAAAATTGGAAATAGAAAAAAATGGTGAGCCCCATTGTGCATATTATTACCCGGTAGATGACAAAATACATCAAAAGTAGTGTCAACTTTTACAAAAAAAGAAGCGAATGCACATGCCAACTCATGTCTCCATAATGTAGCCAGGTTTGTTTGCCCACACAGAAATTTTTTCTTTCGCAAGGCCTGATTCTTTCCGGGAATCCGAATCTGACAGAGCACCAATTCGGCTTTTGTAAAGATACAAAGGAAAATAGTTTTTTTTTTATTGCTTGCCAACGGTATACAGTTTCAATACCAGACAAGCCAAAGGTACACGGCTCAACCGCTTCAACCAATTTTACCGTCTTTTATTAGGTTTCAATAAATATTAAATTAATTTGTTATTATAATATAAATAATGTGCAAAACTAACTTTAATTAATACTAAAATTAATTAACATCTAATAACAATATAAACATATTAAAATTAAGTGTAGAACTTTCAATTTATATAAATAAAATAATAAAAATATATTCAAAAATATTTATATTTATAAAAAATGGCACAAACCGGTATTTGCCGGTAACACCGGTATTTTCTAGTATGAAACGATATAAACTGGTATTTTGGCCAAAATGGTATTTAGGGCGTGACCGTACCGGTCGGACTACCGGTAATACCGGCCGTTATGGTACGGTACTTAAAACATGGGTTTCTACTATCTCCACTATGAAAAAATATAATTTAAAACTAATGGAAATCAAAATTTTCAATATTAGTCAACATTGTCCGGTCTTATATATAATTGGTCCTAGTATTTTATAAATGCTATAAGTGCAATTGGCAGACTCGTGTGGTTGGTAATTATAAAAGAATATCAATATTTTATTTATATATAATAAAATAAAATTGGTTGATAGAAAGTTCAAAATAAGTGTGGTTGGTCCTACATTTAAATGGATTTTATAAAACTTCAAAACTTGATTGCAATCCAGAAGTGGCAGATTGATTATATAAATATTACTAACGTGCATTAAAATATTTTTCATTTCATAATTAAATTATATGACAACAAAGTTTACAAAGGATGTGGAAATTAGGTTATAACACCGACTCTATTGTAGGCAAATTTTGGTCTCTTCGGGTTTCTAAATAACAAGTGTTGGTCTCTTCGGGTTTCATGCATAACAAAGGATATTCTAACTTCGGTTCGCCCACAATGCTTGGGCTACCGTGTCACGTAACACACAATGCTCACTAACGCCAACGTTCGAGTTATTATTACGGGACATAAATTGTCTAGTACGATCATCTGGATCATTTCGTCATACGTATTCGGGATTGCTAAATTCAGGCGGCATATTTTCAAGCGGTTCATGCATCCGAATAAAATTGTGTAGAACACAACATGCTATTACTATGTCGGTTTGGGAGTGAACGTTGTAGTTTGGCATCAACTCCTTTATGATGGGAAACTTCCCTTTTAGCAAACCAAAGCTGCGTTCCATAACCTCATTGTTTGTCTCATTTTTGTTGTGTTTTTTCTTATTATTTTTCATTTCTTTTTCCCCCGTTTTAGGTCTTTTCGTTGGTTTTTATTTCGTTTTGTATTTTATTGTTTGTTTTCTCTTATTATGTGTTTTCTGTGTTTTTCTATTATTTCTCGGTTTTTTGTGTTTTTTCTCGTCTTTTGTGGTGTGCAGGTCAGGTGCCTCGTCGATTGAAAAAAAAAATATTCTGGGCGAGCATAATTTGTAGAGGGCTTCGTTGCCGACAAGTAGAAAAAAACGGAATCGAATTCCGAGTCCAAATGAACTCGAACGGGCCCGAGAAACAATATCGAGCAAGCTACCCAAGTACCAGCCCCAGGTCTCTGCGCCCGAGCACCACGCCGTGACGACCGTCGCGCGTGTACTAAGGCTCACCTATCGAGCACCGCGCCACTGGGAACCATCGTGCCGCGGTACTTGGCATCTCCGTGCCGCGTCGCTGCATCGCGCCGCGGCAACAAGGTATCTGCACGCCGCGCACCTTCTCGCGGAGCATGTCACGGGCAGAGAGAGGACTCGGCTTCAAAGACCACCACGCCGCGGCACCTCTTCTCCTTACGCCGTGGACTCCTTGCCGTACCGCGCCAGATGAATGCTCCACGCCATGCCACCGGTTCTCGCGCCGTGAAGACCTGTTAGTATATATATGTGAGACGGGAACTTCGATCAGTATCTCTCTCGACTCCAGAAACGAGAAACCCTACCCCCTCTTCTCTTTCTCGCGTTCTTTTCATTTTTCTTCATCTTTTTCAACGTAGAACACGAATATAAACTTGGATTTCAGTATTGCTTTCGGATTCAAGCTTGTTTATCAGATTCAACCTCGGGATTTATCAATCGTATGATTTCTCTTTTAACTTTATCGTTAAATATGAATCTTTGATTGAGATTATTGTTGATGTTGAATTGATCATGAGTAGCTAAATCCTTATTCTAGGGATAGGGGATTAATATTTTGGATTCGTTTGTGATTGTTGGGATTTGTTGATCGTTCTATTTGTACGAGTTGTTCTTTAAAAAGGATTTTTCAATTATTTCGCTGAATATTGAGAATTGTTGAAGGGTGACACTTCAACTCACAATTGTTTCAATTGAATTTGATTTATTCACGCATGATGTTGGTTATTCTTATTGATTAGTCGGTTACAACCCTCTAGTCTATCTTAATCGACTCTTAGAATTGAAAGGGGAGGAGTCGGTCGAAATAGGCTCGTATAAACTAGGCTTGTTTGTAACTGTATTGTCTAGGTGTTAAATGACTTGTCAATTTTTCCGTTCAAGTTTGTTCTCTTGTTACGAAGAGTTATTGAGGATGAGTACTTGAACGAGCAGTTTATTCAAATCACTTAACTGAACGATCACTTGCCCAATATTCGCAATTTGAACTAAAACGAATATCCCCGACTCCCTAGCTTCTTAAATCTTGCTTGTTCTACGTGTTAATTTGCTATTCCAATTTGCTTAATTTAAATCTTAGTAGTTGATAATTAAAAACAAAACCTGTAACACCCCACTTATCAGAGTAAATTTTTCGCAACTTTTACTTCGAAAATACTTAACTCTTTCGAAATCTTTTGCGACTAACTCGGGATGCTACTCAAACTCATCATCTTTAAAATCCGTTTATCTTTAACTTTTTGTCTAATACCTCTTTAGACATAAATCAAACAGATTTCCTTTAAACTTGCATTTAAAATCCCATAATCATATTTCTCATAATGGTAAAAACTTGAAATCTGAAATTCATTAAAATGCAAGTTCAATACTTAATGTGCATAGCGGAAATACTTGAAAACGTGGTTAATTATACAGACTGTTATAAATGTCCGTATCAAAGCTTGTCTTCATCTGAGTCCACGATCTACACCAACACTGCTCCACTCACACCTCCTCTTCGACCTATTACCTGAAACTAAAACTCATGGGGGTGAGTAACGAATATGGATAATCATAAACCGATATTTGATCGGTAACCAGAAATCTGTTCTGGTACTGAAACTTGGCCGATATCTGATCGGATACGTGTGCACACTCTGATGGATATTTCTAAGGCACCTAATGGCCTCCATCAGAACTTAGGATATAATCTCTGAGAACAAATTAATGCCTCCTCATCCTAAGCGTAAAAGTTAAACATTAGGATATACTCTGAGACAACTGATGGTCTCCTCATCGCATATGACATCAATATCGTACTCAATGTGATACCCATTCAGGATCCCCACCTTTTTGTCTTTGAAATCATTTGAAAACGATAAGTGCTGTACCGGTACTGTATCTGCAAGTTACATCAAATATAAACAAATATACTAAGTACTATGCTCGTATACTCAATAAGAATCTTAGGATTATTAACTTATCCAAATTTTATAGAAATTCATTAAACTTGCTTTTTCTCAAGTTTATACTTAACTTCTCTTTTTACTTTTACTTAAGGTCAATTACTTAACCTTATAAATCATGTCTTCATAAACATCAATATGGTATTATACTTAACATGTCATAACTCAAATGTGAAAATAACTATATTTCACATTATACTTTATTGAGTATTTAAACTTAAAACATGCTTTCTTTTACCAACATCATCAACATGATTTATAACTTATCTTAATTTAACTTGATCAAATACTTAATTCATCATACATATCCCAATTTTTAGATATTGGCTTATACTAAATTTTCACTTAATTAAATTGAAAGTGAAAATAATCTCAAGCCATATCATCTTTTACTCATAACATTTAATCATGATGTTAATATATAATACATAATACAATCTTTATAAAATTGTCTACTCAACATATTACACCAAAACATCATCAAATTACTCATCACTTATATGAGAATTATTCATGATCATCTCATTTTAACAACTTGAACATTTCATGAATATTCTTGCATATATACTTATCTTTACATATATGCCTTCTTATATTCATAACTTATTCATTTCTCATCTTTAAATTATGAAACTTAACAGTCATAATCTCAACTTGTAATTAGACATGTCTTCAAAATTTCATAATTTTATCATGCATATCCATCAAGTTATGAGAATTTAAATTCAATAGTGAACATAAACTTCATCTTACATGTT